TTGTTATAAATACACGAGTGTACAGCCTAGTTGATAACTTCGTCGAAAAGAAAATTTTCTTCACTGCAACTGCCTTTTTAACAATTCAAATCCTAACAAACCAACTATTGAAAATAATAATAATAACAAGGAGAAATTGTTAAATTGGGAACAAAATGTATAGCTACAGCACAGCGAGAAATTGATAATACAGTCTGCATTACATATAAAATGAAATAAAAATGTATTAAGATAATATTTGCAATTATCCGGTGTCAAGATTTGAAATATATTTTAGCCTCTATGAGGAGAACGGATAGAAATATATGCCTGAAGAAGAAGCGAATATACATGGTTTTACAGTTTAAAGCACACACAGTAATCGAATCGGTGGTATCAAAATTGGAAAGATAATAGCTGAAACATTCTCTGCTACAAAACTGTTTAAAATTCTCTACTCGTTGTATAATTCCAACGCAGATGAAGGAAAAGCCACTCTGGCCACTTCAGTGTGCATTTATAAATTTAACTGTTCATGAGGAGACAGTTTTATAGGAAGAAGGACTCAGCCAACCCAGCGTCGCCTTCTCGAGCACTGTCAAACATGATTCGGTAAAGGAGTCGTAAAGTGTATCAGAAGTTTCACCTTAGGACACCCAGTGAATATGGAACACAAGACTGACAAAAATTTAGCTTTTACACTTCTATACACACTGCCACCTCAACTCTCTAGGCTGGTATATCTTTGGCTGCTTAAGCATATCTGAGCCAGTCGCCATAAAGATTTTCCAACCCAGTCTCTGTGTTCAGAAATAGTTTGTTCAATCTCTCTTCTTCCCTTGGCCTTCGACTCCAACCTGAAACAGTCATCTCTCCCCGTGATACAGGACAATTATAAATATTATCTTACTATATTTTCATTTTATTTTATTTGTAACGCAAACTGTATTATTAATACCTCGTTGTGCTGTAGTTATACATTTTGTTCGCGATTTATCAATTCATTCTTACTACTATTATTATATCATCTAATCCCCTCCATTCCTACTAGTATACACATTCTACCTGTATACTTACCGCCTCCTAAGTTATGAACAATTGAATGAATTTATAACAGTTATTATTATCATCAATATTTTCAATAGTTGGTTTGTAAGGATTAATTTTGTTTTGAAGAGTTGACAATGGATTGATATCAGTTAGAGAAGCATTGAAAACCAAGACTGGAGTACTCGACAGCTGTTTCATCCTAGTTTAGAAAATCATTGTCCGTACGCATCCTCTGGGTTTCGATTGTTATCCATTCTTTATTTACACCTCTGATCCTACATATTCTATTAACCACATAAATTCAAACGCCTATGACGACTAATATTTCAATATGTTATTGATGTGAAACCTGATAAGAATTTACTAAAAATACATACTCGCCTGGCCAGGCCACAGATCGTTTATTGAGGAAATCAACAGATGTTTAAATATTTTTTATGTGCATTATTATTCGTTATTATTAGCAGAAGGACAGCATCTTCTGATTGGTCGTTTTCTCACTGAAAGTTATTCCGTCATCTCTATGTGGCCGTTTCTTTGAAGGTCAGACCATATATCCACCCACGCAAAGTCTTGTGTTATTGATTGTTGAGTTAGTCTTTGTTCTTGTTTCTTTCTCATGACTAAGATATGGGACGTAAACACTGACGAAAATTGCTGTCTACCAACTTTGGCTAGCAAAAAGTTCTACACCACAGTATTGTCAACTGTAACATAGAAAGTATGAGTCACTTCTAACTGCATGGAAGTCCAAGTGATTGTTGATTACATTTTTTTACAATTGAAAATTGTAAACAATTTCATTTCCCTATTGACTGACAAGAATGGAATGTTTGTTTTACGCTGTGAACTCTGGAACAATATGATTGTAAATGTTTTTGTTGGATGTTAAAAATAAGAACATTGTAGCTAACTTTTTTTAAAAAAAAATTCATTTTAAAATATGCATAACTTCGAAGTGCAATCTAAAATACAGTTTACTGCTCAACTCTTCGTCTTCTCACCCGTACATACTGTTCTACTTTCTTCACTACTAACCATGTTGTATCCTTTGGATTTTTGCAGTAACCTTTTATCCCCATCCGAAAACTATTCTACAACCGGTGCACAGCCTCTACTAGGAGACAAAACTTCAGCAGTGAACTCTCATGTGGATGATATTAATAATTTGTAGCAGCAGACTTTAACTGTTTAACCAAGTCACCATTAATTTATACAACTTGTTAAGTTTATTTTTTATAATATACTGTTACACTACCATTTCATTCACTCGGATTATTATTTTAATATTTTTTTCCGTTACCAAGCTCACAGTTGAGTCCTCTACAAAGCCTACGATCACTGAATCACTTAATTATGAACGATGACTGCTTAATGACAAATATGAAGAGTTATTGATGTTGGAAAAAGATACCACCTTTATTGGATAAGAAATTTTGAAGAAGTTTTCAAAATTAGCTCATCCTTTATTCCCATTTTTATGCCTATGATAAAAATGATAATAATAACACATTTTCAGTGAGAATGTATGTAGTGATTGATAATTTCTATCTCTGTTTAAATACTTACTGTTGTTTGTTAATATATTTCTTATATGAATTGAAATATATAATACCGCCAAATACAAATTCCTAAATTCATCCCTCTCTGTGTTTTGGTTGAATTCTTGTAATTCAGTCATCTCGAAATACTAATACTACTATTACAAATAATTACAACATCTTGGCCTCGCGATGGAATTAAATAACCTTGGAAAGTTTCCTATAAATGGTTCACCGCGGGAAATCGCTGAGTGCTTCGACGCATGGTGCATGTCAAAGAATGTTCGGGATGACAAAATTTCAGCTCATTTGATTACTGCCATTAGGCTAGATGCGTATAGCCTAGTGAAGACTCTGTCGTTTCCAGATAAACCAATTTCTCTGCCATATGATAAGCTCCGTGAACTTCTAATAGATCACTTCCATATAACTACTTTTGGAACACGAGAGAGGGCTCAGATCAACAAATTGGTTCGTGCTCCCAACCAGAAGACTAGAGACTTTATTCTTCCGCCTCAGATACAAGCTTCAAAGTGCAACTTTGGAGATCAGCTGCATACTAAATTACGTGATCGTCTAATTGCTGAAATTAATATTCCTAATTTAGAGAAAGAGTTGGTTCAGATTCCTTCCTGTACTTTTCAAACTGCTAAAGATTTATGTATTACATATGAAGATGTCAACAGTGAATACTCTGCTCCTACTACGTCAGTGCCTGGTGTCATGCTGTTCGAAGTCGAAAATACAAGTGTTGATGGAAAGAAATCCAAACTGTCGTCCACATGTAATGGAATTGCAGCGAGAGAGCAAAATCATTAAACTGTGTTTTTCCTGTGGAAAGATTCATCTACGAAGCACTTGCCGTTTTCGGGGTGCTAGGTGTCATAAATGTTGTAAAGTTGGACACTTCAAGACTGTTTGCAGAAGTTCGAATACTTATGTTACTCAGAATTCATATGATTTTCTCAATCTGTCTAGTAAAATGAAGTCAATGTGTCTTTCAACTTTTCAAAATACTCAATCTCATCCAATGAAAACCTTCACTACAAGTTCAGCAACTGAAGCGTCAGCTGTATCACGTGTTTTTAAAAGTGATTTAGCCGAGTTACGATGCGATCTGTCTAAAACCCGGAAAAATTTGTTAGAGGTTGAAGAGAGCCTGAAAAGCAGCAATGAATTGATTGGTCGTTTACAGGCGAACAATAAAAATTAGAAAGTTAAACTTTTAGCTGCTGAGAATTCCTGTTCAATGAAGGAGAAAGAAACCTGCAGACTGGTAACTCAAATAGTTGAGTTGGAATCTGAGAATAAGCGAAGGAGCGAAAGGATCCGTGAACTTGAATGTTTTGTTGAGTCAGCGTCAGGTGTGCAGTGTTTCGCAAGAAAGTGAGTGAAGTGGAAGCTGGCTGGTTGTCCATTCGTCAACAGCTGACTGAGATGAGAGACCAGTGTATGCATAGAGTGCATCTGTTGAATGCAGAGCATACAAGTACCCCTGAAAGTCCTGCAAAACTATTCAAATCTCTAATTCTCAAAAAGCATCTGATGCCCACGATTTCTGATGTACATTATTACAGAGGAAATGACTATAGACCTTCTATTGAAATCATACTACAAAAAATTGGAAATCAAATGGTGAAGATATTATACATCAAAGATCACTCAGTTCATGACAGACACCTGGATCAAGTGAGAATAAATGAAGTAGGTCAATCCGATTATAATTTTAATAATTCCGCTGCTAATCCTGATTTTGTAGATAATTCAGAAATAAGTCCAGATGATACTGATGAAAATAATATTATTATTATGAAATCGCACTGGCGATTTCTTATCTGCACTAAGATGCCACTCCGTGAATGGTCGGCCAATATTCAGCGTCTAGTTCTATGTGGTAGATGCAACGCATCAGTCAACGTGAGACATTACTTGTCACAATACCTTTTGAACTAATTTTAATGGGTTGAAGGTAACCGACAGAAATACCTGCACCTAGGTCTCGTGCATGCTGGTTTCTCCCCCACTGAGTGTCAACACCGAATATATAATTGATGAGTTGTTACTGAATTGTAATATTTGACATTTGTGTTGAAATAAGTGAGAATCAGAAAGATATTGTCGATTTTATTGCATTTTTTAAAAGTAATAAGCACATTGAAATCGGTCAGCAAATTATTCATTAAAATTCTAAATTCGATAAATGAACCTAATGGTTGACCCCGACCACTACCGTCTACCTCTGTGCGACTTATTGATACGATGAAGATGGCCACCTCCGTTGAAACAAGCAAATCTAGCCAGATAATTAACATGGCAATTATCAATCCACAGAGTACGTGTTGATCATTTCGAAATGTGAATCGTCTATCACCTAGAAGTGCTTGAACAATGATAGCTATCTCCTGAAAATGAAAGGCAATCGTGTTGAGGTGTATTCGTGTCCAGTGTATGCAAACATCCTAATCTATTTGGATATAGTATGAAGTATCAAACAACTGATAAAAATCCTAATGCCATTCTTAACGTGAGTGAGATGGTGAAGGCACGAAATCTTATTACTGGCTTAATGTTATTTCATCAGTCATTCACAAATATTAATATATATATATATATATATAAAAGTGGAATATGCAAGCAAACAATACCAAGTGATAACAATAAACCATTCAAGTATATGAATCTGGCGGAGATATTGAAGTCTCAGCGTGTGACCTAATTGTCTGCAACTCCACATTAGAAAACTGAACCTTCTCATAACTCATTCTGCTTTAATGGTGGATATCTGAAGAAAACCATGATTCTGTTTCTAATGCTCCTTTCATCCTGCCTTATACTCTGGACTACTAAATATCACAGAACGGAATCAATCATTGCAGAAAATACTTCCTTTGATGAAGATATTTATGATGATATAAAGGAAAATTGTAACCCAACAATGGTAGTGATATCTCTCATATTTAGAAAATTTGATAGTCAAATATGAGAACGGATAATGAGTCTTCTTGAGGGGATAGCAATGTTTTAGTCTACGATGAAATCACATTAAGCTTAAGTTAGACCGATCAGTAACGAAGCAGTCATATTATTGACATGGCATTCCTTCAGATTCTGATAAACAGTTGTTGAATTTTGTCAGTGAACATACAGAAAGCGATATTATTCTTCTGCAATTGTTAGCTGTCCTGAGGCAAGGAGCTACTTGCGCTATTTGACTAACAATGCATAAAAATTTAAACGTGAAGTTCAGTAACCGTAGAATATTGATGTGTTTGTCTACGTTGTACAGAAAGTGACGGCATGAAAGAACGAAATGCAACTCTTGATACTTATTTACTTGTAGCTGTTGACAATAAATTGAGTTAAGACAGTTTGATGGATGACTCTGTGTATTCGTAAACAGTATGTACCAGCTTCAAGTTTCAGCATGAGAACTCACAATTAGTGAGAAACATTCATTTTCTATCTGCAATAAATAGACTGTACGAAAGAAGTAAAATGAAGCTGCAATACCGGGCAACATTAGGCGCAACAATTGTAGCATTTTTATATCCCATTTGAAATACGTGGGATCAAAAATTTCCTCAATATCGTAAACCAAACGTGCATCAACTACTTCAGCTATCTACTTCATTCAGTACATTTTCGAGCCCTTAAACTGACTGCAATCGGCTCCATATGCAAAAAAATACTATTCTCTATTTCAAATGATCGACTGATAAACATACCGAAATAACTGTCCACATCATGGTGAATCCACACAGTATTATGAGTATCTGTCAACAAAATGATGAATCAAATCAAAAATTCAGCTCAAAATACACAAAAATATGATTGCGAGTTTTGTCAAAAAAAAAATTATTTTAACTTAGCCTTCACGTCTGTTAATTATTCAATGAGATGCATTATGTAATGATACATTATATAAATTGTATTAATCGTTCACAGAATGTTTTAAATGTGCAGACATCCTAATCCCAGTCACTGTAATCCACATTCTGCATTTAAAGTGTCAACTGGAAACCGAAGGAATCATGATGTTCCACGTATGTTTTGGTATATTTTTTGTGTGTTCAAATTAACGCAGAGACTGAGAGTGTGCTATTGTTAGCCTCGTGCCTAACCGGGCTTAGAATGAGTAAGTCAAATAGAAAAAGTGATGAAGACGTCCGAGAATAAATACAACGAACCCTGATTACCATTACTTGGAGGAATCGTAACAGAGTTGTCATTCCACCTACCTGACCAAGTAAGAATCGTTTTAACTACAGGCGGGGTCATGAATGAGAATGTCGTTGTTTGTTAGGATCTCAAAGGCGATACACAGCGATGTTGTTTGCTCTGAAAGTGGTCGCAAAAAGATAACAGCAGGCACTCAGGACAAGATCCGAGATGTCATTGCAAGTGTAAATTCAAGGTATATTTGTGATAACTTCCCAGAAGGGACAAGCAGTAATTTAATCTACTAGCAAATTTCCCACCTTCCAATTCGAATCCTGCTGCCATTACCCTGTAGGTGGCTGACTTCCCCTACAGAACAGTCATCGATACTTTCAAGGACAACATCATAGCCATAGATTCAGTGTGCTCGTGGCTGAAATCTTGATGACAGAAGTAGATTATAGCGTCTCCTACTGACAGTGGAGTGTCCACCACCATTTCATCTCTCTTACAACTTTTTAGCATTTCTATACAATGTCTATACTGCTGTCAGTGCAGTCCCTTCAGCTTTAGAAAGAATAGAACACGAAGTTCAGCAAAGATGGCGATCTTTTCGGCGATTTCATTCTCAAAAAGCTGTGCAATCACATTTATATAGATTATTTTACTTGGATACAATTATTATTTGTTTAATTCCACATAGTAATGAAGCTGATAATAATTTTCAACTTGTTATGAAAGTTTGAAGGTAGGAATATAGATTACAAAAGGCTTAGAGACAAGATTTCATAGGATTAGGAAACAGTTACAACGTATGCAAAATTATTGTTTGATAACTGGAGAAATAATTTTAAGTCAAATAGAAGGTGATAATTATTTTCAACTTGATGTGAGTTACAAGAGGCTAAGAAACGCAGGGATAGAACGAATTACAAGTGTGAACAAAATGAGCATGGAAACAAATTGAAATCAAAAATTTTCGACTTGAAATGTTAGTTAGGAGGTATGAATATAGATTACAAGAGGCATAGAAACAAAAAATTCCACAAGATTAGAATATAATTGTAAAATGGTTATTCTAAACGGATTTACAAGTGTCATCAGGAGGAGCATGGAAACAAAATTAAAATAACTAGTTTTATAACTGAAAAAAATAATTTGAGCCTGAAATGAAAGTTAAGAGGTGCGAATTCGGATTACAAAAGCCTTCGAAACACAAAAATTGCACAGGATTAAGATATAATTGCAAAATAGTTATTTCAAACGAATTAGGATCAGATCCTTAGTCCCTCAGTCTTCATTAGATCCACCTAATTTTTTTCAGTTATGAAACTAGTTATTTTAATTTTGTTTCCATGCTCCTCCTGATGACACTTGTAAATCCGTTTAGAATAACCATTTTACAATTATATTCTAATCTTGTGGAATTTTTTGTTTCTATGCCTCTTGTAATCTATATTCATACCTCCTAACTAACATTTCAAGTCGAAAATTTTTGATTTCAATTTGTTTCCATGCTCATTTTGTTCACACTTGTAATTCGTTCTATCCCTGCGTTTCTTAGCCTCTTGTAACTCACATCAAGTTGAAAATAATTATCACCTTCTATTTGACTTAAAATTATTTCTCCAGTTATCAAACAATAATTTTGCATACGTTGTAACTGTTTCCTAATCCTATGAAATCTTGTCTCTAAGCCTTTTGTAATCTATATTCCTACCTTCAAACTTTCATAACAAGTTGAAAATTATTATCAGCTTCATTACTATGTGGAATTAAACAAATAATAATTGTATCCAAGTAAAATAATCTATATAAATGTGATTGCACAGCTTTTTGAGAATGAAATCGCCGAAAAGATCGCCATCTTTGCTGAACTTCGCGTTCCCTTCAGCTTTAATCACTCTGTATGTATTCCACGTCCTCAATTTGCATCCTGTCGAAGATGGATAGGTCGAATGACGTCAAGGAGGTTTCATTGCAAGCGACGTTTCTGTTTCTAGATTTCAGAGAGGAAGAGATTTTTCTTCCATGCTTTAAGGATTCAGTAGTGATCCGTCTGCTTTACATGCGGTTTCTTTCCCAGCTTCAAGATCATTCTACCTTTTTTTCTTGGCCTACTAACATATCATATTTTACCATATTTCATTAGTGACAGATAATTTTTAATTAGGAGCAACTCAGAGTTCATCTGATTACTTACGTCAAATTCTCGCCAGAATATGAAAGGGAAGAATATGATAACAAAGGCTAATTCCACAATGAAAGTGACAAGTATGAACTCCCCAAAACTTTTGAGCACATCGAATCTGTTGATGACACTGACAGCTACTACAATCCCTGCAATAACCACAGTAATAATTCATGTGACAAATTTCCACCAGAATCGTAAGTCGATGAGTGGAACAGCTGCAGCAAAGGCAACGATTATTGTCTAGAGGGGAGAGAAAGAAAAGCAGCCAATTTTGAAGAGAAAAATGAAATGCAGCCATTTCCAAAAAGTGATCTTGACAATGAATGAGCATTCTGAACTGATGTTGATGGATGAAGTCGGTTGGATGGAAGCGTTTAACTGTATCTTTGGGATTATGGGCGAACCGTAAGAAGGCGTGCATAAACTGAATCATGCATGCCCACAGCAGATAAAATAATAGTTGCACTACAGAACCCAACCAACATGGCGTTGGTTTCACTCTGACTGTCAGTGATTACGAACATTGAACGTTTGTTCATTGGCCTCAGTCGCCATTGGCGGGCAAATGGAAGGCGCGAATGACTCAGTCGTGTACAATTTAGAAAAAAAGACGAAAGAGTAGGAATAAAAGTACAATGCATTCCTTTTAAAACATTTTTATATAGACTTAGTACAGAGTATTGATTTTAACTGTCGAAGAATTCAATTTCTTATCATTCATTGTGTTTTGGAATTAAAGTCGATATCTGTGCTTAGTGCCTGTCGATTCGGAGCGTCTTCGGAAATAATAGGAACTTAGGATTAAATTCCTTGACACTGACATTACCACAAAGTTGAGACATACCATCAGTGAAACGAATTGGGAAGATCTATCCAGCCTGTGGGTCTCTTTCTATTTCCCAGAAAGCATTTATCCAGTCAGTTGGAAATAACTCAGTTAATAAGTACTGGGTGATAGGAAGAGATGATTCCTTATCTTTATGTTTCAAATAAATCATTTGTTTTTGTATGTACCTCTAAATTTCTATCTTCAATTCATTCTGCAATACCAAAGATGATCGATTGGATTCGACCACAAGTCCACTCAGAGTACAATGACACTGGTTTAACCAGGATACTACAGGAAACTAAATACACATCTACTGTGAAAATATTTAGGAAATCGTGTTCAGTCAGTAGGTTCATTGCTACTTTCGACGATGTGTGTTGAAACCTGATCACATACATTCCCTCTACTCATATAATTCACTAATGTGTTCCTACTATGGAGTGGGCGTTTCAAGAGCGACCACAGTTGCTTCAATATTTTCACCATTCGTCGTTCCAGTTAGTTGGAAATCTTAACGCTAGTTTATCGGAATTTCTTTCATATTCCGAAATTAGATACAAATAGGCGTCAGGATTTTCAGCTATGAATTGGTTTCTTAGGGATAACACGACTGTTTTCTTACTTTTAGTGTAAAACTTATCCCTTGTCTGTTTGACTTAAAGAAATTGCGTAATTTTTATGTGGAGTTGTAAGAAAGGCAACAAGCGTAACATGTCCTTATATGAACATCGAACAATCAGATATGCAAAAAGAAAATATTATTGCTAATATTGTACTTTCATAAAATGAATGGCAAAACGCATTCCACTTACAGCAGTCATCAAGTAGATATAATTATAGAGGAAGGCGAACTGTAACTGCGGTATAAGTAGCATCTCAAACTGTAGAACTGTTCCCAGAATTCTGTATAGTTACAAACAAAATTAATGAAAGTTATAAAGAATGGGATTCTGTAGATCAATTTGTACAGGATGAGGAAGAGGGAAGGACTGACATCTCCTATAACTGTATCGACTTAATATGACGATTCCTACCAAGGTACTTAAATTACACTTGATTGTGTCCTTTCAAATGCCGGGCAGTTGTGTGATATTGATAATTGTGATGATAATAATAACAATTTATTCTGACAAATGTGTAACACACGCATGAATAAATTATCGCTTTCACGTGTAAGATGATATCCCAAATAATAACACAACATGTTCGGTTGTAAAGGCTTAAATTTTTGATTTATGAGACACTATTGGTTGAAATGAAACACTGAGTTGCTCATGTAATCGATAGGTATTAGTGTGCTTCTTTTCTTTCCCACTTAGTCTGCCATCAATATCGATTTTATATCTACCTCGTGGAATGATGGTTTCAAAGTTAATGATAGCTGGCTCAAACAGAAACCGAATTCCACCCCACCATTTTGAATCTTAATGACTTATTAACAGCCTTCCCTTGGCCTGATTGTCTACGGTGTAATATATTATGGCGTGAATAATAAATTTGATAATATATTAGGAATAGTTAAAACGTAAGTCTTATACATAGCCACACATCCATGGAAACCTAGTATTTTCTTTCATCCAGTCATATATTTGCGAACTTGAAAACATTCGATCAACAAAATTGGTCAAAAATACACAACTTACACAAGTAACACGAGAGCTCAGATTTCCCACACTATTGTAATCTGTACTGACACTATGATGAAAGTCTGTGAAAAGTAAGGAATGAAAGTAACAGCCTCTGGTAAGTGAAATAGATACCTCCCAAATGAACTCCCAGGTCCTTCGTTCAACAGAAGACTGATTAGAACCAGACTTGAATAACTTGGTTATGAGTAATAACGATGGGAAACATACTTCTGTGTTACTTCGTGAATTCACAGAATCTTGAGTTGAAGATAGTTCATCCGATGGGGTAAATGGAAGGATTGTTTGGTTTTCATTTTTGACTGATGACATTTTCAAAAGATTCATAACAAATTAAACAAGTAGAAAAGAAGACGACATTATGATAAGCTCATTTACAGATAGTGATGCGCCCCAATAAATTAGGTCTATTTACAATGGACTACTCGAGAATTCGTGAATCACAAATACAGCTTCAGCCAAATGGTTGGATACAGAGAATCCGTTTATTTCATTTTTCATGTCGACTTCAATACTTATGCCGAAGCATGTACGCAATGGCTTAGCTACTAAACTTTTCCCCTTGAACTATCGAGTTTCAAAACTGGAAAGCAGAACAACATGATGTGATACACTTTACATATTGAGTCCTCTGTATCTGCAGATTTCACTGTTGTCACAGGTGAAATATATGATGTGAGTATCTCAAATATCTAAAGACCAATTCTGTAGCATCATTATACATTCCCTATTACAGAGTCTTGTGCCAAACGTACTGAAAATGTATCAGTCACAGTGTTCAGAAGACAGAACAGCATAACGTGATACACACTCCACATTGAGTTCTTTGTACATTCCAATTTTACTGTGGTTACAGGTGACAATTGTGATTTAGGTATCTCGAATACTTGCAGACCATTTCTTGTGCATCACACAAGATTTCACATTATATAGCCCTGAGCCAAACGTGCTTGAAGTTTTGCACAGTGTTCAGAAGACTCTTCATATTACAGTAAAGATCACTAGATACGACTATTGCTCTTATTTACGCCATATCAGTAGGCCTTTCCTAAACTATCGAGATAATCTTTTGGACAACAAAGTCAACTTATTCAACACAGATGTTCACATCTGCAATCAGATGATTTATAGAGTTGATTAGTAACTTGTAATTACGTAATATTTTATGCATAGTCACATATTGCAATAGAATCTTCAGAATGACATTGTTTAATCTCGACATAAAGTGAAAGATTATGCGAAATGTTGATTGATACACGGTAAGTATGTATGTGTCACAGAATCTATTTAAAATATGAAGATATACTGAGACATATTCTTGTTCAGAGACTAAAACCTGTGTGTGTTCCTCAACATTGATATTGCACGAACCAGTATGGTGTTGACAAATAATAAATTAGTCAATCTTTTGTGATTGTGATTATTCTATTTCTGATAAGTCATCATGGTTGACAGGACGCATCAGTCCTTGCAGACTAAATCCGATTTCAATACACTATTTATCAACTCAATTCATTCTGGGAATGTTATTTTGACTAGAGTTGTACAACTATCATAGCCAATTTCAAAGTAAACATTATTATTATTATTATTCATTAAAGTGGCGCAAACTATGTTCATGTAAAACTCAGTTGACCAGTCAATATTGAGAATCTTAGTACATGTATATATATATATGTTTACATAAATTATGTTCGAATATGTGAAAGCATTCTTGTCTGGAGTCCTGAAATCCGAAAACTCCAGACAGATATTTCAGATTAATTCATCCCATAAGTCGAAAAAACTTGAGACACTTAAATAATTCGAGGAACAAATATAAGTGTTGCGTTACAATTTAGAGGAGTCTTATGTTCAAAAACATCCGTAGCTATGGTGAGCATGTTACGACTCATTCATTGTGTCAAATTCCCTTCAGATATACTTTCCATTGGCCACCCTTCAACACTGTCAGTGACTAACTGAATTCCTCTTATATTTCAATGGGTGTCCAATTCTGAATGGAACCCTTTATTCAGTTAGGGAATATAGAATCAGTGATTTTCAAATTTCCTGAGGTCTTCATGGGGTTCCCAGTCAAGATGTTAGTCAACGAACAATGTAAGAAATGCAACATTATATTATAAGATATATTCCACTGTAGACAATCGAAATAGGAACTAAGTGAATAGAACGTGACTGTAGCAAGAATAACTAATTTTAATTTATAGGTCGAACTGTTCTCTGTTCTACTTCTTGATTTGAAAAACGAATAGTAGGAGTTAGGGCTACATGTAGAATTGAAACTACACATTTGTTATTCACCTATTTCAGGATTCTACTATCATCACAGTGCGTCTGTACTCTTCACATTAATATGAGAATTCAAAGGTTATGATTACTTTAAACTGAGGCAGTTGAACTCGAAAGTGACTTATCCAGATGGTCTATGGGTGTCCAATTCTCAATGGAATCTTTTATTCAGTTAGGGAATATAGAATCATGCATTTTTTTTATGGGGCTGATTCAGTAAGAACTATCTCGAAATATTAGGCAACAAATCAGTGATTCACTCATGTATCAAAATAACCCTTACAAGCGTTTTTAACAAAAGGGCATTATATCATTGAACTGCGGAAGATGCAACCGCTTTTAATAAGACTTAGTTGTTGTTTTTGTTGTGCATCAACTACGCCACGTTGACGTGAAACATAAAATAAGGTTCTGGAAAGTATCTCATCATAATGAATAGTCCTCATCTAAACACTAAGAGTATCAGGGCTGGAAATAAAACTTGACAGAATATACTTTCAAGTTTACAATGAAATTCACATATTAAACTTAAAACTTACCCTCGTTTGATGAAGTTGTCATTGTCGAAATTGTATTAATTGCAGAAGTTGTAGAATAAATGTGCGATTCTATTTAAGAATATCAAAATATTTAAAAATCAGTCAAGGCGAATTTATACGATGAATTAACACACGAACTTTGATATAAGATAAACAACCAATGGAACACATTGAATGTAGTCGACTGAATTAGAAGCTACACTACATGTAAAACTGTATGAAGCGACACATAAGAATGAAGTCTCATAAAGCTGTCGGAAAACACAAAGCACGTCAGTTTATTATCATTATTATTGTTCCCTTGGGTTCCTAGTGAAACATAGGGCTCCACTTGCCTCTGTCTTCTACTGTTCTTTTCATTTGCATCCATGTTAGTCTATACTCTTTCAACTCCTCTTCGCACGATCTCCTCCATGTCACCCTTCCACTGACGACCCACTCAGCGCTTCCCTTTTGGGTTCCACTCGAGCAATGGTCTGACGCGCTATGTCACCCAGCGGCCTCCTCAGCGAGTGTCTAATCCATCTTTACTTTCTCCTGCATATTTGTTGCTTGGCGATTGGTTCTTGTTTTGTTTGTTCCCAGCCATAGTATCTTGTTGGTGATTCTTTCCGGTCCGGCCATCTGATCTTCAGTATAGACCGAAGATAGTTGTTGATGAAGGTCTGTAACAGGCTGTTGCAAACATCCTTTGTGACTCGCCCGCCAAGTTTCTGAACCGTATCGAAGAACTGACTGACTTGACGTTTGTATTGAAAATCCGACCGAATTTTGTTGTTGATGCTGGGTTGAGTGACGATGATTTCCAGATTGGTTTCAGGTTGATGAATGTGTTTCTCGCCTTCCCGATTCTCGATTTGACATCCTCGTCCGTTCCAACTGCCTTTAGTTAAGACAGTGCTCCCTAGATAAGTGAGTGAATGAAGTAACCTCTTTCAAATCCCTCCTGTTGATGGTGATTGATGCTGTATGTTACTGCTGTTGTTGTTGGTTGGCTGGTTATTTTCATCACCTCCGTCTTGTCTATATTGACCTGAAGTCCTGTCTGCACTGTCTGCTTCTTCGACCAGTTTGTCGATTTTTGCTTGTAAGTCTTCGATTTTGTGTGACATCAAACATAAATCATCCACAAGCGAAATCCAGGTCTTCTAGGTTCTTCATGTTGGTCGGTCCAGGATATCCCTGTCTTCTCGTTTCCCACTGTCTGACGCATAATCCAGTCAGTCCACCACAATTAGGACTATCATTGGTGATAATAAGCCAGCACCCTTGTCTGACTCCTGTGTTCACTCCAAACGCCTTACTGAGTTTTCCGTTGTGGATCACTTGACATGTTCTGTTGTCGTACAGCTGTTGAATAAGGTTGATGAATATTTGGGGTACGCCGTAGTACTCGAGTGATTTCCAAATTACTTCACGGTCAACGCTGTCGAAGGCCTTCTCAAAATCTCTAAAGTTGAGGTAGAGGTTTGATTGCCATTCCATGCTTTGTTCGATGATAATGCGTAGAGTTGCAATTTGGTCAGAATATGATTTGCCTTTCCTGAATCCAGCTTGTTCTGATCGGAGTTTTGTATCCAGTGCGTCCTTTATTCTCTCTAGGATGATGCGATTCAGCATGATTCCTCGCCAGTTCTTGCAGAGTGAGGCGTAAGTCGCCCTTCTTTGATAGTTTCATGAGGTAACCTTACCTCCAGTCAGTAGGCACCTTTCCCTCCTTCCAGACCTTTTGCAATAATGTAGTCAGCATATCTGCTGTTGTCTCTGGGTCCGCTTTTAGTGCTTCAGGGGGTATTCCATCTGGTCCAGCTGCTTTTCCAGCTTTCAGAAGCTTGATTGCATTCAAAACTTCAGCTTTCGTTGGAGGGCTGGTATCAACTGTCAGTTGTGTACGTGCTGTTGTTGGTATTTCTGGACCAGTTGCAGTGGGTGGTCTGTTCAAGAGTCCTTTGAAATTACCTGCCCATTATTTAATCTGTTAGATAGACTTTGCAATTAAAGAGACCTACTCGTAGCAGATAAACAGATCAGAATTAAACTAATATGGATTGATGGCAATTGCAGAGCCACTGAGCACTCTCTGCCATCGATAAGTTGCTTCACTGTACTTGGAAATTCCTCATCAATGCAAATCTGTGACTCCGTAGGGTTCCCAATCAAGATATTAGTCAACGAACAGTGTGAGAAATGGAACATGATATTGAAGGATATATTCCGCCGTAGACAATCGAAATAGGAATTAAGTGATTAGAACTGAGTGTAGCGAGAATAACTAGTTTTATTGTTTGTGTAGAAATAACCTCTGTTCTACTTTTGGAATTGAAACACGAACAATACGAGAAATAGGCTACATATAGAATTCAAATGCTACATTAAAGCGTCTGTTTACAGCCTCATAGATTCGCTATTATTCACTTATTTCAGGATTCTACTTTCATCACAGTGTGTCGGCAATCTTCATATTATTATAAGAATTGATAGGTGAACACTGGTGTATAGTGAGTCAGTTGACCTAGAAAGTCACATAAGGAGATTATTAAGCGAATGACGTCAGAATCTGTTAGATTAAAGTGAAATGGAAGAGAATGGTTTCCTCGAATCAAGGAGGCCATGGACATTTTGCATTATTGGTGAACCTAATCGATTTTAGGATTGAATATGTAGTACGCAGCTGGTGATTTGGCAGGTGTTAGCTGCATATATATTCGCATATGTGATTTCGATGAGTGGCTGATTTACAGATTTTGTGTTTGAGCTAGACAGATAAAATATCTATGATACCTCTTGGGAGACGCACAGTTTAAAAGTGATGAAGTCTACGTATCTCCAGATTCAGAGTGATCAAGATAACAACAACAACAACTGACCCTGTCTAACCATCGACTTTCAGTCAATTAAAATCTGAACTGACACCGCAGGCTCTTGTCTCCTTCTCTTATGATCTCCTTATTTGCACTTCGGTTGCCCAACTCATCGTGTCCTATTTGGGTTATATTAGACGATCTAGCGTACGACGTCACCCAACGCTATCCTTAAAGTGTTTTTTGTGTATGTTTGTTCGACAGCAGTTTCTTGATTGGTTTGTCCTACTTGTTCTTTGTAAACAGTCCTTTCTAGCATATTTAACTAAAATCACTTGTTATTTTGAAGTCACCGTTCATTGACAGATCTCACTGCATGATTTCATTCTTAAATAGTAGTCATGCAAAATTCAGAAGAATTCTTGAAAAATTCAGATGTCTGTGTTAGGTATTTTAGTTCCTCGTCGAGCAGTGTTTTGGGACTTTTGAGAGCTAAACTATATAAATAACCTCAGTAATTGAGTGAAACATCACTAGACTTTTGTTGTCGTCTCGTTCCAAACTATCTGCTTTTGTTCAGACTTCAGCTCCTCCATTTCATTTATATTTCAGTGGCGTACATTAGATCAAAACCTTGCGCGTTGTTGGTTCACTGGTAGAATGCTTGTTAACCACGGAGGAGTCCTGCGTGCAGCTCCCAGATACGCATTCTTGGACCAAGTTCATTCACCTGTCATAAGTGTGCAAAAGGCTGAACCATGTGCATGAGTCTATCTAACAGACGTAAAACGTCACCGTTAGTGACGAAAATTCCAAGCACTTCTTTTGGTTGGAATAAGGAATTCAGAAGTGTGGCGTCTAATTAAAGCTTATATGACATCAAGCAAATAGTTTACCCATTTTCGACGAAAATAAAAATTGACTATGTGGATCTGAGATGTCCACAGAGTGTTTGAGGCAGTTTAGACTGCTCAGATTGCAGAGAAAAATTAGGTAATAAGACAGAGAAGAGGAGAAGAAACCGGCTATTTTGGAAGTTAACCGCTGATCCAATAATCAACTTCTGTCATCCGAATGGCAATCATGAGCACAGTGTGGATTTTGCTATCATCGGCATCAAGGGCTCTTGTGAAGTGGGATAAAATTGCCTCGAGGATCATGAAAGTAATATTCTAGTCGCACTTATTGAAAGCACTTCTTAATCTCAAGAAATCGAAGGACAAGCAGACTCAGATCCCTCTCTACTCAGCGTAAGGAATCTTCAAGATCCAATGTGAAACAATAAAAGAAGCTGTAGATGGAAAATAACTGGAACTTAAAATTTATGCAGCTAGCTGAAAATGACAACAGAAACAAGAGTAAAGTAGAGATTCACTACTAAGGCACAATGTTCTCCCACTTAATTGCATCATGATAACAGCAGCTTTATTCTGGATAAAGTGTCTACACAATATGCAGAATTCGAAGCACAGGTTATCGCAAAATATCTGATAACCATCCAGTGTCTGAAACATTTTATGTAACGCCCTATTGTTAGATTTTAAGCTTCATTAATCTCTTAAACTGGTAGTTTCTTCCAAATGTTTCAAAGGATATACAAAAAAACGCGATTTCACTTGAAAATTCTGTATAAGTGGTAAGTAAAAATACTCTGAAAATTTCTTATTCTTCAAAGACGTTTTACTCAGAATAAATTATTACTAACAAATAATGTTTTTCAGCACTTAGTGTTTACGGTAATTCTCATTCAGTTGAATACCACGTTTCTCAAGTGGATCATACAAAGAATTGACTTTTGTCCTTCTTCATAAACCTTTCATTTCACCTTACATTTATCTTCAGTTTGTTTGAATTCAAATCGTTTCATCAAACAAAAAACATGACTAACGCCTCGGGACAAAGTACGAATTTCAGAGAATCATCTTCAAATGAACCGAAGAATCCAAGACCACATATAAGATCCACTAATTTTTTATTCACATCAGTTTCTGTTGTTTAGACTGACAAAACACTCATTGTTCATTTGATATTTTGAACGATTGTTGCACTAAGATAAATTTACGTCTTATTTTCAAATCATCCTATTTCATTCGATTCGACCAGATTCGATGTTGTGCTTGTATTCTTGAGTGATACGGACGCAGAGATTGTGAAGAATCCTAATAGATGCTCCCTATCCAGCTATCATATTTTATGTGTTCTCATTAGTTCAACAATGAAATCAAGAATGTCAGACTTGATTATCATTTGTGTCATTTCCATTTAACTGAACTTCTTTCTCACTCTTTGTTAATTACGGAATGAATAAAATATCCTTGTCCTGACTTTCAGTTTTCTCCTGATTTTCACACTGTGTGACAAGACGGGAGTCAGTTCTGTTTCAAGTGATATATCTGTGTTAGTGATACCTGAATACAGTGGACTTGGCGATGATATGGAGGAGATCGTGTCAGTATGAGATGGAAGTTGGTGGACAATGGTAGAGCCAGCAAAAGAGAACTGCTGAGAACGGGACAAAATGGGGATGTCTCGGTGAATACATATGTTCCACTCGGGACATATTTTTAATTTCTTTTTAATTCTCAGTGGAACACAGAACTTCAAGCTTCAGCTGTGAAATCTCGGTAACAGTGGTGTTTACGTTTACGGAATAGGGTTGCCAGCCTTACTTCCAACCTTCCATGTTTACCGGTTTTATTACTGGCTTAGACAGGTAAAAGAGTGCATGAACCGGGAGTCGAACTCCGGAACACACACGTAGTTGATGAGCATTCTAGAACTCTGTCACTCGTTATGAAAGGGAATGATAATAACAGTAGCCTAATTGAGAAAACCAGAATAAGAACTGGCACCCTGACCAAAATAGTTGATTATAGGGAATAAAAGTCTGTTTATTTCAGTTGCTGTCTTGAATATACCATGTGTACAGAAGAATGCGATTATTTGGCACTACCAATTAACCACTACCACTACCACTAAACACTGAATGTCTGACGAGTGTCGACGTATCGTAAGCCGCTAGGCTCCTGAAACGGAGGGTAGCAAGAAGACCAGATGAAATCAATCTGAAAAAACTGAACTGGAATCGCGGACCTCTGCATAAATGCCAACCTCACTTTTGTACAAAGTGTGTATGTGTGTGTGTGAATTTACCTGTCGATGGAAAGACATATCAGCCTGTCAGACTGTGTCTGAAGCCTATGCAGGATGAAGTGACAAACTGATGTCCACAACAACTAAAATGCCAGACGACATCATCCTGTAAGGATTAAGAGTTGTTACTGATGTTAAAATCCACTCAGATTTGAATGGATTCATTAGAAAACAGAATCAAGCGCCGACAGAATTGCAGCATTTCACAGCATCATCTAGTACAGCTTACGATAGCTTTCAACAGTGACAACTGTGGACTAATTGATACTCGAGTGTCGGTTCGCAGGGATTTGATTGGTTTGAGGATTTCATGATGAGGTGAGATCAGTAAGAGAAAGATAAGGAAACTTTGGTGGACGGGAAAGCTGTTCTGCACTAGTTTGGGACTCTTCGACAGTACGAATCAACTGAGGCTCGAGCCTGTGACCTCCCGTTTACAGGGCGGATTCGCAGGTAATGAAGACACAGGTAATTAATTGTTCATCTGCTTCAACACTACTGAGTAAAGTGCAGCCATTTTGTCTTCACGTCGTTTGATGTATAACAAAATCACAAAGCTCAGTGAATCATGAACGAATTTGAACTATATATATATACAGCGGTTTGATTATTGAAAAATAGATTTTTGTCTTTTGCTGTTACAATGCTAGCTTGTTCACCTGCTGAACTAACTAACCTTAGTTCTGGTAAACGTCATAAACCTTTGATAATGGCATTTTTAGGTACGAAATTGGTATTTTACTTAAATGTACTCGGGTTTGAGCAATTCCAAGTCTGATAAGCCCTTCTATTTTCAAGACCGCACATAAATATTTCAGTCAGGACTTTCATTTCACTTTGAGTTATCTTTCGTTTGTCATTAGTCACACCACAAGTTGGTTGCATTTGAAATTACTCTGGTTACTACATGTGTTATTCAAGTAAAATATTATTCACCCCTTTATGTTCTGGAAATGTTGAAGTTTGTACAACAATGTTTCATCCATATGAAAGTATACGACATACCTTTTTTGATACTCATGATGCTGTGATCACTGTTGATGTGACGCGGATTTCTGAATCATAATGATGAAATACCTCAACGGAGGTGGCTGAAATAGAATGTGGAATGAAAGTGCTAAGAAATCAAAGTCCATATGGAAACTTTACATCGACTTAGACACATAACATCTTTATTTCGAATCTGCGGTAATTCTTTAATACCCTAGGCCGCCTGTGAACATATTACATGAATAACTATGGCAAATTATTACTGGATTCCTGATGGTAACAAGTTATCATCCAGCTAACAAATAGTGTTTAGTTACTTCTGTGCAGTCTGTAGTGTCTACTGAATCGTAACGGGGCTACTTATACATGGGTTTAGGGCTCAGTGTCGAATACCTTCAACTATGCAATATCAAAATGAAGGCCACAGAGTTTCTTCTAATGTTTGACACCTACTTCATGTTGGTTTTAAGTAAGTCAGAATCAAATATGAATTATGACCTTTATTAGGTTTTTTTGGAAAATAATGGAATTCCACTAATCATGAAAGGACTACAGGTTTTCAAATTATTCGACATTTTTATTTTCATTTATGCATCAATTCACCCCACGGGTTTCGAACCCTGTAGGATATATGTCAGAACTTCATAGACGACGGCTACCTCTGTTGAAATGATCAACTGCATCCAGATAGTAAACATGGCACTTATCAGTCCACAGAGTATGTGTTGATCATTTCGAAATTTGAATCGTCTATCACCGAGGATAGCTTGAACAATGAACGCCATCTCCTGAAAATGAAAGACAGTCATTGAAATATTAATGTTAGATTGGTGGTCTCCAGCGTATTGTCAGGTTATACGAATCCATATGAAATTAGGTGTGGGAAAACGAACTTTAAAAACATCATTAAATGAATAAAGTTGTTGATGACATAATGAATGTCGACGAGTAAGTAAGGTGGTGAAATCTAATGGTTGAGTAGATGTCAATTCGTCAGATATTCATACACATTAATCTATATATATATATATATATTCCCAATATTCTTAGTGGAACATAGGGATTCAAGATGCAGCTGTAACGTTTTGGTAGCAGTGGTCCCACGTGGCGAATATTTAAAACTGACTGTGCTTCTGCTTTACGCCCTATTTCATCTCTATATGTACACTTGACTGTCACTAAGTACCTCGAGGTTGAGTGGCAAATCGCTGTACTAAACACTCCTTTTCATTTGAACGGTTAATTAAGTCTAAAAAATATAGTTCTACTTCTACACACATACACTCATTTTATTTTCATTATTGATGATACTTTTGAAGGTTAAAGATGATGAATGACAATGATTTCACTCAAATCTAACTAGTTCTAAAGTTAGACGTGAGAGGGGATAATTAGTATTCTTGATGGAGATAATCAGCTGAACATGAATGGAGCAATGCTCTATGATGCAATCAGATTACATTGAGTCTTGATTCAGTTCGACTGAAAAAGGAGTAGTTAATTACACACAGTATCTTCAGAGACATGAGTTTATTTCAGATTTCGACGGCAAAGCGCTTAACTTTGTCAGTCAACATATTGAAATTGGCATATTTTAGTTGCCTCGTCAGTCATACTGAGACAGGGAGATGGCTGTATTACAATTCAGTATAATGAAAAACGATTTACACAGTGAGATAACTTAATGTTTATATCTATAGACATCGAGAGACAGTGTGTGATCCTTTCTACTTCCAAGGTGAATACCATCACTCAGTAAGTGAAAAAATACATGCATGCATCCACACGATGGATGACAGGGAAGCAAAGTGCAATTTCTGCATTCTAAGATGAGCTGGTGTAAGAGAAATAGTAGCTCGCTCCAAGACTGGACAACAGTAAGTCAAACAACTGGAATATATTTATCTCTCGATAACAGAAAATGGATCAAGAAATTGGTGGTTGGATTAATGCAAAAATTCATTTCCAACCATTGTGTATCACCCCGTTCAATACCATTTCATCTCTCCAAAACAGCATCAAATCGCTGTGTTCATTAAAATACTGAACTGATGTACAAAAATGCTCAAAACTTGAGCTTACCCATACAACTGTGCAGAACATGGATAATCCACCAAGAATAATGATCATCTGTCGAGAGAATGGAGAAAGAAATCGATGGTACAATTTGAACTGCAAAATGCTTTATGCTGTGATTATTATTCTAAATGATAATTGATAAGATTTCATTAAAAGATGAGTTTATTGTAGTGGTTATATATATATATATATATTATTATTAACTCCCGAAAACATTTATTCGTATAAACTCATCTCTCGATCCCATTCGCGATGTTCTTTTCACAGCTGCAATTAATATTTGAAATCGATTACACTTTCTAAGAGAACAAACCTTGATGATAACTAAGCCCTTGAAATATCAGTTAGTTGTACACTGCTGAAACGCACTACAGTGTTGCCAACTTCCCCTGGTGTGGAAATCTCATGTCCCCACACATACTTTGGCTTTCATAGAAGTACAAACTACCGACCGAATAATTTGGCAATAATGTACACAATCAAGAAGCGTTCCGCTGTAATCGAGTGAGACGATCAGTACAAAATATGATGACTGCATCATTAAACTTAGTTTATTCTAACATGAAAGGAATTCCTGCAGTGATTTGATTGATTTGAATACTCATCTGTCAGTCTTCTTGAGGAAGTTTAATTAGGTGAAGCGTATCTAAAGTGATTCAACGTGTTCCACAGCACGTTTATTGATTATTGTGTGAGTGAATACTTCCCGAAATAAACAGTTTCCAATGAACATCAGAAGACACCTCAGCTAATAACAGTTAATTTTCAGTAGGAATAACTTACATGTCATCTATTTACTTACATCATATTTTTGTAAATAGATCATTGGGAAGAATCCTATGCAAAACATTATTTCCATGATGAATGTGGAAAATATGAGCTTCCGAAAAGCCCTCAGCATACTGAATCTTTTAAGCACACTGACAGCTACAATAATCCCTGAAATAACCACGGTCGCTCCCCATGTGGCAATCATCCACCAGTAGGGTTCGCCAATCAGGGGTAGAACTGCTGCGAACCCCATCAATATTGTCTAAAGAGAGAAAGAGAGTAAAAATCAAGCGAACGTAGATACGGTGGATTCTTCAACATTTAATGTGCACTGCAAAATGATATAATGTGCTTGGTCGTGGCCAACATGAAGAAACAAACTTTTGACTTCAAGTCTACGTCAAATAATACCAACACGTATCCACCTCAAAATATCTTTCATCAAAGGCTGCTGCACAGCGATAGTGGGTGGTTCTCTAACCTGGTGATTGCACTGGACCAGAAATAATACAGCCACGGAATGCATGGGCGGGATGTGTGTACGTCACTCAGGTAAACCAATCATCAGTTACTAAGTGTTTTCATACGTCAGAGAGAAGACAGATTTCGTGTGATAAACAGTGGTTGTTATTCATCTCAACATCGCCCCTACGCATTGAACTCAGTTCAATGTATATTGCTATACATTCATTGAGTGGCCATCCTGCTTGGACATGAAGACGTGTATGTCCTCTTATCTCACAGCTCAGTGATGTGTGCCTGCTGAGAAGTGAATGGGCATTGCAATGGCGATTTATTCTGTTCAATTGTTACTATCCTTTGTTGTTCCACTCATTTCTAAACAACATTTCCAGCTCGTCTGGATTTGTTTCTGGTTTAAAATGAGCTATTCAAATATTGGTTCTTGTCTGGGCCTCAAAATCCATCACAATCAGCCGGCTTCTTTAGGGTGAAATCTTTTACAGTGTGATTTAATTGACTTCGTTCATTCTTCGTTGTGACATATTTACCACTAACAGTTTCAACTTCATTTTGACTCAACCTTGACACTGAGAGATGCTACGTAATAATCAGGCGGTGAACTCACAAAACAAGTTTATATGCAAACACCAAACATCATTCAATAAATTGACTTGGAAATACGAATGGCCATTCACACTTCACTTACAGCAATTATCAAGACGATATAATTGAGTGGAAATACAAACTGCAGCTGAGGTATTAGAAGCATCTGCATCTGAAGAAGTGTTCCTAAAAATCTGTATTGACAGAAACGAAGGAGACGAAAGACAGGGAATTTAGTTTGTGCAGACTTAATTGTTATATGCGTAAAACTCTGGCACTCTGGTAGTAAGTAATTCCATGATAGTTTGTTAATTACATGTGTCACACAGTGAAACATCTAGTAAACAAACTAATATGGAATTACAGACTAAATTGTTTCTGGAGGAAGTATATATTTCTGTGGATTCACTGTATGAAACTATACACAAACAGGAAAGATGCGTTAAGTCCTTAGAATTGTTGCATATCAAAGAAAATGACATTCTACTATCTGGCTTTGTAGCTGGAAAGTTCCCTGTTCGAACTGAGGTTGTTTTGTACAACAGCTGGACGGTGCTAAGTTCCGACAACACAACAATCCAGTATTCTTTGAACTTCCAGTGTTTCTCTAACTGATGTCAGCTTGTGGTCAGACCTGTCAACAATCAAATCCATCACACAATTTAAGATAGGCTGAGCGCTTTCCATTTTGACATTAAACATGCAGCTATTCGTAGGCCCAGTGACGATCAAATCAAATCGCCGTTCAGCTAACTGAAGCCTCAATGGACGTTGAATTCGCACATTCGAAACGGTTCTTTTAGGCAGGATGCCATCACTACACCACGTAATTCATACATCAGTGTCTTGGCATATATCGCGGGTGGTTTTTGTGTGAGGTGCATTAGTAAATAACAGAGTCGTTTCTCAGGAAATACACCAGTTTGACTGAGCAGTTATTATTAGTGCTGTCTTCAAGAAATTGAAATGTAACATTAGAGTAAACATTAGCTACTTGCCTTTCATCTGGTTCACGTATTTCACATTCTCAATAATCGATACAGTGAGGAGGGAAACCCACCATATACAGAGTCAAACAAACTTGTAATCCTGCTTCATTGTTATTTAGTTTTTATA